TACATTTAATTGTTGCTAATCTTTGTACATGGTTTGAAGGTAAAAATATTCTTTTATTTAATATTCAGAGAATGAAATTTTTCTTTCTAAAGCTATTATATTCGAAACATTGGAACAGATACCTCACGTTCCGAACGAATCTACAACAACAGCAATTTTAACTACGACTGTTATAGATACAACAACAATTACAGATGCAGGTATAGTCCGACTACGTAACTAAATTAAAAATATTTAGATTTGAGTTATTTATTGGTTACTGACAAGTTTATTCACACGACTTTTACTAGAATATTTTCATAGAATAATATCGTAACTACAGTCAACGTGAATTCTAATTCATAGCTTCGAATAAGATGGAGATTGCATCTAACAAATACTGATACGAGTGAGATGGTTAATCGTAGTTTCTTTCTTTCAGTTATCAATACCAACGATAAAAATCTACTCTTAAAAGTGACACTTAAATTGTTGGAATTCTAGCAACCCCATTCACTAATTATTCATAGATACCTAGATGCAATAACAATGTAATCCCATGTACGAATAGTCACAGAATCTTCTATTCGCTTACCATTATTTTATGTTAATCTTTTTTTTATTATCTTTAGTCACATCGATGATCGATAATGTTACTAATGGTAGTTTATTATATTTCTTCAAAGCTGCGTCTGAAGATTCTTCCAGTACAATAGCTCCAAACACAAGTACAGTAGAAGTTTTAACTGAAATTGCAGAGACAATGAGTGCCTATTTATATCCATGTTTAATTGAATACAGTCTTATATCTTTAACTGTATTTTTTATTATGTGGAGAAATATTGGTGATACAAAAAAACAATCAACGTTACGATTTGGTGCTCGTCATGTTTTTACAGTAAATTGTGCGCGTGCTTCACGTGGTATACTTATTGGTGGTATTATATTTTTATTAACAATTCTAACACTTATACCAACATATATACTCAATGATGATGCAATATCAATAACACATATAACTGAAGTTATATTACTTGTTGTTTCATTAATTACTGTATGTATATCTTACATACGTACAGCAAAACTATATTACGATCAAAAGGCACATGTTGATCAATTTGATCAAGCATTGATTTTAATAACAACGGTTGGAGATTTTGCATATTCTTTTTTTGGTTTATTTGCATCTCTATTAACTCAAAACAATCCAACTAAACTCCCAATTGGAATAGAAATATCAATTGGAATTTTATCACTCTTACAAACATTCTTTCAGACAGGTTTTATTCTTGATACATTAAAACGACGAACAAGATCAAAAGACGAGATTCGAGAAAAACCTGGACGAGAAGCAGTTACAGCTTTGTTATTAATGAATCTTGGTAAAATAAATCTTTAATCTATTTTTTATTATTAATAGAATTCTTTTTTTATATAGCTATATGGCTACATGATTCATTATCAGCAAAAAAAGTAAAATTAAATCCATTGCAAACGAGATATTACGGTGGAGCATGGCCAATCATTCAAGCATTTACATCACCTTTGTCAATATTCTATCGTTTTCATTCCAGTGTATGTCTTGCAGATATTTGGCAAGAAGTTTATCGAGATGGCGACAATGAAGACAAACATCAGCTAATAAATGATGCATAACAATACTATTTAAAATTATAATCATATTTATTCTATTTTATTTTTTGTCTTACCACATCATTATTTGTTAAAGTTTTTATGTATATAACTAAGAAAGAAAAACCAATATAGTTTTTTTATAATTTGAGGAATCGCATGACATTTTTTTAATTATTGATGAATTAAATGAGTTATGTTTTTATGAACTTATCGAATATTGTTATGATTTTTATCATTGTTTCTCTTAGCCTACTGTTGACTTTCTATTTTCAGCAGATATTTATTCTTGACTTTAATTGCATAAATGATGATCTTCAGAAGGATATCGAGAAAATACTGACAAGTAAGCTAATACACTGTCGGAATCTTTTACATAACTGATAATTGAACTTTCCTTTACTAATCGAAGTCTGGCTCTGTAATAATTCAGTTTCTTGGATAGATGGATATAGATATCGATAGAATCCAGGAGAATGCCGATATACAAATACTCAGGAACGAACATATATCAATGTTAGTAATACCATGAAAATATTTAACTAGATTGAAATATAAGTTGTATGAGAATGTTTTTCAATTGGAGAAAATCTTTCGCTAGACATCTTTAATGATTTATAAAATAAAAATAATTTAATAAGTAGAAATTCAAATAAATGTTTAATTTCAATAGTGAATTATCGTTTTTTTTGTTATTTATTCTTCTTTTATAAATCAATCATATGTTATTTCTTATTTTCACAGGTAAAAAATGCAGGCTTTTTTCATAATTATATAATGGATCAATTTCAGTTTATGAATAAAGTATGGGGTATTTTTTGAAACTCTTTTTTAATACTAAGATTCATTTGATAGAATCTATATTTTTAAGGAGTATAAGTCTCATAATAATGAATTAGTCTCCTACAAAAGTGTTACATTTCTATTATACCGAACAATTATTTATTGATATATTAAAAAAAAGCTATACTTGATAATAATATAGCCGTTGTGAGCTGAGAAGTAGAATAAAATGAAATCATATAACAAATTAGAAGATAGTCATATTTAAAATAAGCATTTCGTACTACTCGATAGTATTAAAGTACTAATTAACATCTTTCTTGCATGTTTTACTGAATCATACAAAAAGTCGGTAGGATCTTTATATAAATTATATTGATAAGTTTCATTATATATTTCTATATTGCTTGTTAGCCCTGACATAACTGTTTATAATTGTATTACTTATTGACTGATCGGATATCATATATCTCTTAAATTAATGAAACAAAAGAAATTATTCTTCATTTATATTAGTTATGTGAAGTTTAAAGAGAAGAATCGATTGCAGAAAACAAATAGAAATACAATCAGTTATTTCATATGTATTTTTAACTACTCCATGGCATCGATAATTATTAGAAATGATCTCATGTTGCTTTTGAATTGAGTATCTGTGTTCCGGATGTTACACATCTATACCATACATATTTATTTATTTAGCTGGAAATTCTAGCAAATTGTTACCACTCATGTAAAGATCAGGCGAGTAGTTAATTATTGTGCTCCTGAATGAATAAGTTGAACTAATAGAACTGAGATTATTGAGACTAATGCATAGGTTGCTATTATATATGAGATAGTTTAATTAAACAATAAGAGAAAACAATGTAAATTATAAAGAATTATACATTTTACATATACATTGATAATAGCAGTACCCAGTGCTGCACATGCTATGAAGACTTGTAAATAATATTACAAGACTGTATATCTGCTGGCAATAGACTCTAGCTTCTACAATGCCATGAAATAAATTGAATAGAGATATAAACTTGATTAGTTTATATCACAAACTGCAATTGCGATCACTTATCAATCGATGATATAGTTTTGAAACTTATCAGTCAATGTTTTCTTTGTTAGTATTTTTCTCTCAATTCTTGCCATTGTTCTTCTGTATCTATCCATTTTGAGCATTTTCCTTATTACCAATTTTTTTGTAAGAATATCAATAAGCGCTTTCAATGGCATTTCCATAGTGCATCCCCTCATCTTTGAAATTTCAAATTCGATCCATTTCAACATTAATTCTCAGAATATAATACTTCCTTATGGTCAAATACGAACAAAGGAATTTATAAACTGTCGTCTTCAAATGAAATGATTTGGTATCTAGCACGCTGAACAGCTTGACTCAAGAAGTTAAACTTGAAATCTTTTCATCTTTCAAAAGCTATATATTCGCGTTAGTGATTCTAACAGTAAAAACGTTTTGTTCTCAAAACAATACATCTTTCTGAATTAGCAAAGAAGTTGAAAAGCAAACTTTTCTTGATTAGCTCTCTTGAAATTTTTTTAATATCATTTCACACTTCATATTGTTTTCACCCAAACAATCAAGCGTCAAAATATCAATATTTCTCGCCTTACAAACGATTGTCGTCACATTCACATAGATTAGTATCAGAAGAACGGCCAAAATGATAATAACGACCAAAATCATAATAATCAAAATCATTATAACGGCAGTTTACACCATCACGCTTTGTATAATCCTTCTCATTGCCACTAGGATCCCATCGCCAGTACCAATCACGGCAACTACCACATTTGGCGCAAGCACGTCCCTTACAATCAAGCTTCTTATCAGAATATGGTGATTGTTTCTTTGGTGCAACGATTGTTGGTTTTTCTAAATAAAGAGTTATAATCTCTGTAATAAGTGGAGAAAAAAGGCCTGACTATCACTACACTCAGTTATCAAGATTACAAACCTACAGAAATTGATGATATCTGTCAAGTGAGAGAAGTGAATTTGATCTATTTACAATCAAAACTTTTAAAAAAAACAACAACTCACGTGTGTATTTATTTTTTAGTCAGTTTAAAGAAAATATAGTTCGTATGCTCTATAGTTTATTATTCTTTAAATGAATTTTAGATTTTCAGAACTTTGTTTATTTGGTTATGTTAACAATCGTAATATTTACGTGATGATATCATTTATTTGAAAGATAATAAAAATACCTTATCTAGTCCTCAAGACTCCGAAACTTGACACTAAATCTGAGGTAAAACTGCACGATATACTTGACAGAAATGTCTGATGAAGACTTTGTCATAATTAAGAAAAACAATAAACTTACCTTTTTTGAGAGATAGTTGCACAGATGGTTTTGATATAACATTTACTGATGAACTGCATTCTTTTTCTTTCTGTGAACTTACCGTGTATGATGGCGGTTTTGTTCGAGACAAAGCATGCTTTACCTCGCTTGGTGATGGATTGTATTCT